GGGGCTCGGCCGGGGCGCGCCGCGACACGTGGCCGGGGCCGGGGCCGGGGCCGGCGACAGCGACAGCGGCGATGGCGCAGCTCACCGCGCGGTTCCGCACCGAGAACCGCAGGTGAGCGGCCTCCCCTCCCGGGCCGGGGCTGGGTTCGGGAGCGCGGGGGGCGCAGAGGCGGTAACGGAGCGCTGTGCCCGCAGGTTCGCCGTGGAGGATGTGCCCTTCTCGGTGCCCGCCACCTCCGAGACCACCGACCTCAGCCAGCTCATCAACAAGCTGCTGGCCGCGGCGCACGGTAGGTCCCTGGTGTCCCGGGCCGGGCCCGGCGCTGCCGGGCTGGAATACCGCGCGTGCCCCGCGCCGCAGCAGCGGCCATGGGAGTGTTGCCCAAAACCTGGCACAAGAGCTAGTGAAACCAGAGGTTTCGTTTTTATAGCAGCCTTTAAGAAAACCTCCGCTATTCTGTCGGTGCTGAAATGGGCCTGCTGACTTGAAAGATGAGCTGGGGAAAGACACTTGTCCGATGTTGTTGGAAAATCCCATTTTCCATAAGAAACTGGGTCAGTGGTATTATACCCTGCTTCTTGAACCTTTTGCAAGTTGCTTTCAACCCATGGCATTGCAAACAATCTTGACCAGAAAACTGGTGCACTGTGCAGTGCTTCTGCCAAAATGCTGAGCCTTTGTCATTTATGCCATTACAAAGGGAGAAATATGAACCAGAAGTTCTTAGGATTTTCCAGGGCTCTAGCTGGCAGTAACAACTGACAAGATCCCTACAGAAGAGTCAGGAAGCACCGCTGGGGTTCGATTGCACAGAGCTACAGAGAAAATACAATAAGAAGCAAACGACTCTTTAAACCCTAACAGCAAATTTTCCTTCCTCTTAACTTAAACAGTACTGTGGAAGTAATGGGCTGCCCACTTAAAACTGGGAGAAGAAACCAATTGGTTGGGGTGTTTGTTCTTGTTGTCATTTATTTTGGGGTTTTGGGGGTTGTTTATGTTTGGGGTATTTTTAACTCTTCCTGGTTCCATTTTCCTGAACCAGTCACAAAATTAGGCCATTCTTGATGGTATCAAATAAGTAGTGACACCTGAACATTGATTTTTCCCAATTTGTTTCAGCGGATCACAAGTATGTGGAATTTGACTTCCTTATCAATGGCCAGTTCTTGCGACTGCCGCTGGTCACACACATGGAAATGGAAAATATTTCCACAGTAAGTCATACTCTGTCCCCCTTTCTTGGGCAGAAGAACACTTCACCAGTTTACTTCAATCTGATTTTGTATCACACTGTCGGCTAGGTAGATTTCCTTGCTCAGTTTCATTTATTTTCTTAAATCCATTATGAACTGCAGTGATTAGAGACTACAGACAGAGCAGTGCAAGGAATGTTATCCATTCTGTTGTCTGTGTACAGTACAGAGGGGAAATTCTTCTCTTATTCAGTTCATCATTAATACATTTTTGTCTCCTATTTTGGGGGATAATGGGGATGTTTAATGTTACTTCTAGAAAATGTTGCAGTGGTTTTGTATTAGTAAATATAGATGAAGAGGAGTGTAAGAAGACTGAAATAATTTGCTTTTGCTTCCAGCTTGGTATTAATAGTAATTTGATAAAAACTACTATTAAAGCAATGTAATTCACACTTTTTTTTCTAAATGCTTTTGTTCTGCTGATGTGGTGAAGGATTTGGATACCAAGACCTTTGCTCAATAAACTTGTATATTTGTGCCACACAACAGTTAAATTTTGCTGTTAGTGATTCAAAAAACCAAACCCATGCTGCATCACTAAATAAGTATTTTGTCTGTGAGCTCAGGAAGAAGTGGTGGAAATAGAGTATGTGGAGAAATACATGGCCCCTCAGCCAGAAGAATGCATCTTCCATGATGACTGGATCAGTTCTGTCCAAGCCACTGAAGAATGGTACCACACTAAGCCAGTTCTAAGTTTTGTCTTGCTTATTCATGTTCCTCCCTGGTATCAAATAGAGCAGTATTTTCTCTTTAATAATCCCTTGGGTGGGGTTTTTTTCCCTCTTTGCTTTATTTTTTTTTTTAACCTGTCAAGTCAGTGAGCTACTTGCTTTTGTAAGCTGTTCACTTGTTATGCTGTCACAACAGTGACTTTTAACACAGGTAGAAAACAGCTAGAGACACTGAACTTGAGATACTGCTTATACAAACGAACAAAACAAATGCTGTTTAGTATCATCCTTTTTCTTAAAGGAATACAAGTTTTCCTCATTACTCTTTTTTGCTTAAACCCTTGACTTCCAACATGACACCCAGCAACAAATAGAATGGCATACCTTTCTGCAGAGATTTTCCTGAAAAAAAAGCCAAAGAGTCATAATTACCTTTTTCTACTGTATTTTCACATTTATTTCCCAATCAACTAGGTAATGTTCATATATTAAGTAGAGATTTGAAAATGCTTTGAGAACCTCTGGCAACATACTAAAACTAACAAGTTTTGAATTATGTAAATTATATAAGGGATCTTAAGTCCCACCAACCAGAACGTGCAGTATTCTCACTGCTTGTCTTTGTAGCCTGTACTCTTGGCATCCCAGTTGCTAGGCATTAATGAAGCTTTGCTCTGTAGCAAAAAGATATTTTTTCCTCTTTGAAGCTATTTCTTTTAAACCAGTTACTCTGTTAATAGTTTTGCCAAGTTTCTGGCTGAGGCTTTATTTCATGAAAACACTTGTTGGTGTTAAAGACAAAGATGTTTCCAATGCTGTACCCTGTAGGATATTAACTGGCTGCTACGACCAGACTGCTCGGATCTGGTCTGTGGAAGGAAAATCCATCACGACAATAGCTGGGCACACAGAAGTAGTCAAGGATGTGGCCTGGGTGAAGCAAGGTCAGTATGTATAGCAGGGGAATAGTAGTAGTTTGATTTACTGGGAGAGAAATGTTAGCGTTCCTTAACTAGAAATATTTAAATGTCTAAATGTAACTATTTCAATCTGTCAGTGGTGTAAGAAATTAAGTCATGGTGTGCATAAAATAGTCCTTTGACAATAATGAATATAGTTACTTTAAGATGGTTGTTGTCTATCCACCATGCAGTCTCCATTAGCAAATACTGGTGTATATGTAGTTATATAATTGTACTTGCAGGGTAAGTGATGTAAACTGAAGTACATACAAGTTTCTGTCTATCTGCTGTTTCTTCTAGGATTAGAATAATTATTTGTAAATACTCTGGAAATCTGAGTGTAACTTTTTCCTTCCTCAGATAGTTTATCGTGCCTGTTACTCAGTGCTTCCATGGACCAAACTGTCCTGCTCTGGGAGTGGAACGTGGAGAAAAACAAAGT